AGCAACGACGAGATGTGTCTGTCACACTGCATGTGAGTGAAGGCCGTAAGAAATTGCACTTCATGCACTGCCAAAAATATAAGCTCTCAGCTTTTTTGTTCGAAAAATATTGCACGGATAATATCAAATCAAAATGCTATTATTGAAATAAATAAGTACTATATATAATTTAAATAATTTAATAAATTTTATATAGTCAATTAAAAAAACAAGTAAGAGGTTCTAGTCGGGAGCTCCGGACTAGGGGATACCCTGAACCCTCTTCTTCCAACATCAAATGCATATATATTTTATTTTTGAATCTATATGACAAGTTTGGTGACTCTAGCTCTTATTATTTACCAAAATTGCCCAAAAACCAGGATATCGATACCGATGTTTATCGATTGCTTGGAATCGGAGTAAGTTATCGATTATCGGAACAAACAATCTGCGCAGGCACTAGGTGCACCTACATCAAAAATTTCAAGTCTCCAGCTCATACATACGGACAGACGGACAGACAGACTGCCTGTTACATACATTTGGATTTTGCACGAATACAATATACCCTTATACCCATTTTTAATGGCGTGAGGGTATCAAAAAGCATAAAATTGTTTTCCGCCGCTATAAATGTATTAATTAATTTTGAAAAGCCATGTCCTACTCTTTTCTCTCTTTTCACTTAAGGTGAGCACCATACAAATTTCAGCTCCTTGGTAATTTAAATTGTTTATTTGTTATCTTATGCATATATTTTTACTCAAAATCTTTCTCATCAAACCATTTCTTTTTAAGAGCAACTTTTCATAATTTTGTATTATTCCTCCAACAAAATTTAATTAGTTATATGCTTAATTCTTTGCTCCGATCTAATATGTTGCATATTTCGTTTTATTTTCTGAGTGTTTTATGTGACAGACACAGAAGCCTGCAATAACAGCAAAGAATCTTAAGTTAATTTCTTGACTAAATAAATACAAGTTTTTTCTTACTCCATTTCATACTACTTTGTGAAATATTTGCAACCACTTTGTCAAAATTCTTAGCAGAAAATTGCGCTTGCCCCAGACATCCCTCTAACCATTAACCCTTAACATGTTTCTTTTTTGTAGCAACAACTGCAACTGACTGACATCGTTTTGTGCTGTTGTGTGGCAAGAGCTGTTGTTGTTGCATGAACTGCGCCCAGTTAGCTTTTATCTTGGCTCAAAGTCTTGGCTGTAGCAGCACCTGAGGCAACTGCTGATATAAATCTGAGCCGTTCCTTTTGCGCAAACTTTGCCAAGCAGCGGCTGCATTCTCTGGTATGCGGCATGTGGCATGCAGCAGGTATGCGTCTGGCGACTGGCCCAAGTGTTATTTACCTTTTCTCTTTGTTGCCCTGGCAAGGGCTAGCGCCTTGGGACATGCAGCATGAAAAGTTCACCTGAAGTTAACTTTGCTTCTCCTTTGCTAACAGTTACAGTGAGAATTCTCATGGCAACAGTTGCTCAATGTTTGTGCTGCATAATTAAACAATTGTCTGGAAAATTGCGTTCCAACTTAGATGGCGCCACAGTGGCCCAGACGCAAACACATCCGTCAAGTGGCCAAGTGCTGAATACTTCCTGATTTATCCGCTCAAACATTTTGGCAGCCTAAGAAGCATGAAGTCGGACTTAGAAATGGGCATTTGATTGATTTAAATCGAAAAGAAGCATTCTACATGTGGCATATGATGTGAACTTAACGAAGTGGACATAAAAGGATGTAGGAAATATAAATTGCCTAAACAATATTTAATGGACTCGAACTCCCCTAGAAGCATTTTTTTCTATCTAATATAATAATTAGTTAATAATTAACAAGTTGCCAACTCGAAGTCTATCTCAACATTTAATCAGGCTAATAGCACAGCGTCAAGAGCACAATGGTTACATAGCTTCGCTGTCATTAACAATATCAAGAACAGAATCAACAATAACATCAGCAATAATTAATCTGGCGGTCATGTAATAACCGCCATTAAACTAAACAAACAGAATTCAACGCTCTACATTTGCCAGTTGTGCATAAATTTCAATTTGACGAGCCGAACAAAACCGCACCCTGACCTATGCCGTCCCTCTGCCCTCTTGCACCTATGCCGTGTATTGGCAATTAAACGGCTGCGCGTTGGCGATATGCTGGGCGAACCGCAGCAATAGCCGCGGGAATTGTGTTTTGTAAATAATATAGCCAGGCCAAATGTTTAATGACATGAAATTAATGCGCAAGCATCAGCAACAATGCTGCCATATGGAGGTGTTCCCTGTTGCCACCTGTTCAGGTCAAATGTTAATGACATAAGCCCCAAGGAGAGTTCATTTATAAATACGGTGCGTATACTCGATATCGATATATGCGGTGTATACCCTTACAGCTGACTGAGCTTTGTTGCCATCACTCAACGAAAGTGTGCGACAGTTGGCATTCAGATTAGAGATGAGAGCGTGCTAAGGTTTGAAAATCGTACCTCCTAAACAAATTAAGAGATATCTCTGTGCGCAGGCAAAACAATCTTTAGAGGAGCTCAACAATAGTCCTAATTTAAGAAGAATATATTCGAAATCTTTAATCTTTTAATGCACTAAAAATATTCATTCGAACAGTAACACGAACTTTGTAAAAATATATTTTTGACTTTGTTTTTACATTATGGAAAATGAACACAGAATCTTTCTTCTTAATTAAGAAGAAACATTCGCGTAGAAACATTTCAACGTTATTCGTGCTTAATTCGTGTCATTTTGAGCAATTTTCGTGCTTATCTATTTTACTAACGCAAATAAGCACAGCTCAGCAATATGTTACCCTGTCTCCAATCCACACAGAAACATACACACATATGTGTGTTTTATGTTATTCTTTTCCTCGAATTTTATGAGTTGACTGTGGGCGTGGCCCAAATGGCGCAAACAATTGGCGCCAGTTTGTTTAGATTTCAGCTAGCAACTCGTAAATAAGTATATATTTTGCTTTTTGCCGCAATTTGCGTCCAACAACAACAGCAACAACAACAACAATAGATTCACAGTTACGGCTTGGGATTTCATTTTTGGCTGCGGGTGGGTACGACGAAGAGTCCCGAAATTTTTATTGTCCAGCCAAAAGCGAGGAAATACGCATGAAATTAGATTTGCTCCATCGAATTGATTTCATTTGTTTTGATTTGTTTCCGAAAATACGCAAATTGGATACGAAACCAAACACCATCACACACGCACTCACACACACATACACACATACAATCTGAGTGGTTGCCATGGCTGAAATGAATACATTTTGGTCAAATGGTTGAGATTCGAGCATTGTCGTCGAGCTGGGGGCGTTGACATGGGGCGTTGCGGTTTCTGTTGACTTAATGGGAAGGCAGTCAAAGAAACCCCCAACACACCGAGACACACACACACACACTCACGCACACACACAAACACACATTTATACTGACTCATTGTAGCCTAGCCTGACTTTTAGTAGTTTTCGCTGCCGCTGCTGATGCTGTTGGCAATTGAGCGATCAGCACTTGGCAGCTTGTGTTGGCATTAAAGTGTCAGCAGATACGCATACATATACACACACACACGCAAACACATTTTTTGTGCCTTGTAGTCAGTGATTTGGGCCGCATGCGGCTTAATGTGCCAAGCGTTAAGACACCAAAACCGAGCCAAGCAAAACAAAAAGTTGCCGCTCAATCAACTGGCCAAAATGCGAGAAGCATGGCCAAATCTAAACCCTTTTTGGCTTGTCCATTTACGCTGCTGGGGGATTTACAGATCAGCGGCTTAAATGACCCACGGGCTGCCGGCAATTCCTGTCCTTTAAGTGCCTGTGGGCAACTTTTTCGGTGAACAACTTATTCAAGACATAGCACGTGATAACCCAATTAATGGCGCACTCTAAAAACTTATTTCTTGTCAACTTTTATACATAAATATTTTATCGACATATTCGGCTCATTATAAATAAAAAAAACAGACGCAGCCCAAAAACTGAACCCATTCAAAAACTAATCATTATTGAAAACGTGTGCGAAAAAGAGAAACTTTTTGCTGTCCCAATCGCATTACCGGCAAACAAGGGGCCCTAAGCTGACAGGAAAGTCTGTCCAAACTTCTAACGAAATAGCTTTGGTCAAATTGTTTTATTGTCCTTTTGTGTCCTTTCCGGCAACGCCCACACATCCTTCTGGATGCGCCAACATTGTTTGGCGCTAAAAACTCTCAAAGGATTTCTGTCCGGCGTCCGGTTGCCAAGAACCAAGAGCAAAACACACTTTTGTGTTTGCACAAGATTATTCGATGTAGAAGAATCGCATTTAATATTACCATATTGTGGGCTGGAAAGATGTGTATTCACATCATAATGTGACCATGGAGAAAAGCTAAACGAATGTGGAATGACAGTGAATGTTAAATAATCGTGATTGGAAAATAAATTAATACAAATCGTTTTAAGCTAATACTCAAAGTTGTTAAATTGTTTGTGCATTTAAAAAAAAAAAATGTGACATGGATTGTTGTGTGTTGAAATGAAGATTGAAGCAGACACATGTACAAATGTAGCTAAATGTCCAAGCATTTTCACACTGTATAGTATAGACGTGGATCTTTGATAAAGTAAACATGGATGTCAACAGTGAACAGTTTGGAATTAAGTTAATTAACATTCGATTCGATTCGGTTCGTGAATTTGTCAGAATATTGAAGATTGCTGCAAAAGAGCTTTGCTAATAAAATTAGAAATTGATTTAAGTACGGTTAAGTCTTGATAAACTGAAATAACATTATTCAACCAGTGGGTGGAAACCCGTTTCAATTGTCAACCTTTTTGTACCCTTGTTAAAGGTTTATATAGAGCATTCGTCTGTCCATGGATCAAAGCATCCAGTTTAGACATTTAAGGTGTTCAGATATCAATTTATAACTAACACTTTAAGGGAATTATTGTTTTATTCAAGACGTGTGTCATTAGAAAATAGAAATAAAAAGAACTGCTTTCACTGAGATGCAACTGCCTCTTTATGTTTTATTCGTCGTTTTCTGCGACCCCTTCGGACTGCCGTGCGCCGTTCTCTGGAGGCCTTTTTGCGTGCCTCAGCAGCGGCACAGACCGCTTTGTAGGCAGACTTTTTGATATTTTGCAGATCTCTGCGGGACTCGCAAAGCCGCTTCTTGAGCGTGTCGATGCGACACTGCGCCGTTTCCATGAGCTGTGCCTTATCATCAAACTCCTGCTGTGCACCGGTAGCCGCGTTTTTGGCTTGGCACAGATTCTCCTTGGCAAGCTTCATGATAGCCTCCATGGCCAGAAATAACTGATGCGCCTTTTTGGCCGAATTGTGAGCGGCATGCAGATTATTCTGAGAGCTGGCAATTGAGTCTGTCGCCTGCTGCATGACCGACTCCGCATCGTTTATCTCCGCCTCCAGCTGCTCGACAATCTGTTGCTTGCCCGAAAGCGCCGCTTCGGCCGCCTTGGCAGCGGCATATGCCCTATCCGCCAGCTGTTTTTTGACCATGTGCGACACCTCCGCCGCGGCGGACTGCTGTGTGCCGTAAGCCTGCTCCGCCTCGTGTGCGGCCTTTTGGGCTATGTTCGTGGCGGTCTGCTTGGGACTGGGGTGGCCCATAAAGCTATCGCTATTGGAGCCGCATTTCATGCTGTTTAAGTCGCCACCAGCTTCGTTACAACCGCTGCCTGCTGTATTACAGGAACTGCCACCAGACACATCGCCCATATCCTCAATCTGATCCAGACTGCCGCTGAGGCGTTTCTGATGCGTGCGGCGATTGCGCAAGCGCTTGGGGCTCAGCTCCCTAAGAGGTGTGAGCACTGCTGTTGCTGCGATTGCGATGAACTGGAGTAGCAGTTGCAGTAGGAGGAACAGGTAGAGTGCCTGGGTCAGCTGTGTAATGCGCATAATTACGTGTGCCTTCAAAGTTGCTGCAAGTTTTACTTTCCAGTTGCCGCTCGAACATTTTTACATTTCAAGTAGTTTGCTAAGTCAATTTTCAGAGTGAAAAATAAAAAATGAAATGCGCCGTAAAAGTAGGCGGACGCACAAAGGAAAACTTAGCCCAGTGAGTGGAGGGCCAAGGAGAAGTAGGTACAGCGCATAAATTTTCCACGCAATTTCACGCAATATCTTCAAGCGCAACTGAATCTCTTGAGGTTTTTTCTTACAAGTAAAATGTATGTGGGAGGCCTACGTTTACAAGAGTTTTTCTTTTTAAGAAGATTCAGAAAGTGTGCTCAAGATGGGTCCATTTGGCTACTGAATAAGGAATGGAATATCAAACAGATTTTTCTTTAGCAAATTGTCACCATTTCCTATTTTCTTTAATATTAAAAAATATATATATCTCATTTTGCTTGAAATATTTAAGAGATATTTTAAATTTTCACACAAAATTTAAACTATAATTAAAGTATAATTTCAGCAGTTGTTAAAAATGTTTGTCTATTGCCCAATTTTCTACGAATATCTCATCATTGCCAGTGTGACCATGTATTGGCAATTTCTGAAATTCCTTTAAAGTTATCTTGTTACGTTTTACAACACTAAAGTTTGCGTATGTCAAATGCAAATAAGTGCGTTTTCCTCAAAAAGTTGGGTTTTTTCGGTTGTAAATTTAATTGGGTCATCAAAGCGTCTGCGGCTTTGCCTATCTTCAACTGTCAGTGCGCGTCCTTTGGCCTAGATAAGCTTATAGGCCTTATGGAAATGGGTAAGTTGTTAGCGTGGCAAGTCCCCAGACGATGGTTTGGTAAGCTGCTTTTGTGCGTTGATCTGTTAATCCAAAAAGGGTAACCGCCGGCCAAAAACTGGGCTTGGGCATGTGATTGAACGATGGTACTTCGGGTATATAGTAGTCGTAAAAAATCTTAAGGTTTTAACTTGAAGAATATTTGAAGCGTGGCCTCAACTAGTTGTGGTTTTAGGGGTTTTGCAGTTTTTAATACCAATTAACAGACGTTTCTTGAATGGCTAAAAATATTTAAGTGAAGTTGAGTTACTGCAAATGGACACTCGGCAACCGCAACTGCCAGGACTTGACTGCTGCTCCTTCCCCTATCCCGGCACATGTCCTTGCGCCCAAAACTCATTTGCTTGCAACTCTTGTTGCTGCCATGTGGCATTTGCACATTTACGGAGCGATTCGGCTCGTCCTTGTGTTCACACTCGCAGCTGCATTCGTACTCTCCCTCGTCCTCGTCCTTGTCCGTGTCACTTGCATGCGCCTTTTTGCGTGGCCAAGTACATGTGCAGAAGTGTCCCAAATGACACTCTCCGAGAGGGCGTCGGTGTGTGTGCTTTGGGTGTGGTAAAAAACCACAAAAAATTCTACATTAAATCGATGTGCATGAACATTTTTGGCGAATGTGCCAAAAATGTAATAAGCGGACAGGCGCACTCGGAATGCTCTTTAAGAAATACATGAAAATATTCAATTCAAATAATTCAACTATAGAAATGAGAATAAATTTTATATATAAAAAAAAATTTGAATTTACAATTGAGATGTAAATATAATTGTTTGCATTCTACTTGTATTATGTAAAAATTGTGATGTTGTTTTTATTTTAATAATTAAAAAAAAAAGGCCTTTTAACAATTATAATTATGTTCATTATTTTCCATATTTAATATTTTGGTAAAATATTCAATTTATTTATTACATTTTTTTTTCAGACGCCCCTTCGTAATTTTTAATTCAATTTAACAAAACTAGTACAGGTAGAATACATCTAAAATTTGATAAAATTTCAAACTTTATTTACGAAAAAAAATGGATGAAGCCCGTCTACAGTTTTAAGTAAAATATTGCGAAAAATTTTAAATATAATATCCTGTATTTTTGCTGTCACATTTTAGCTCATTTCCTTTACTTCTCATTAATGTCAAAATATAATGACCCCATGCGAGAGATGTCAGCCTTTATCATGTGGCTGCACTGCCAAAAGCAGCAACAGCAACAAATTCACAACACATTCACTCACTAACATACACATACACACACACACACACACAAATTCAATTTCCTATGGCAGTAGCTGGACCCACAAATGGCATCTGTCGTCATGCTGAGACCTACAGCCTGTGTCTGCCGGGATATAGTCCACACTTACGAGCTGTAGCGTCCATTCAACTCACCCCCGAGCCCCTGCTCACCCTTTCTGTCACTTTCCCCCTCTGTGTCTGCGCGTGTGTGTGAGAGCGCATATTATATTTATGCCCTTGCAAAAGTGCTTATTGATGTTGCATCCGAAATTGAAATCTACTTTTTTTTATCATTTATCCTTGAAGTGCATCGATTTGAGTTTTCAATGTTTTCTGAACTTTTAATTAAGCAAAGCTGGCATTTTGTTAAGCAATATGCAAAAATGCTGGCAGGCCACGATTTGTCCACCTGTGCATATTCCCTCCCTCGCACAACCGAAAAATAAGCTTCGAGCTGCAGCTGCCCCCATGAATGCAATGTCTAGGCCAAAGAAGAATTTAATTTTATTGCATAAGTAAATTGAATTTAATCTACAGGAAAATTGCTGACATGCCACAAAGGTGCCGCCACAAAAGACTGGTCCGTTTTGTCAAAAATTTCGCTCCGAGTGAACGACCACAAAACCAAAAAATTAAATTTACGCATATATGAGACACGACTAAAAAGAAGCCAAGCCCAAAGACAACCTGGGCGGAGCGAAATTAAGTTTATTTAATAATGATGATGAGCTTGTGGCTTGGAAAACTTGCAGCATGGATTGACGAGCCATCAAAGAGGCCACAAACTTTACAATATTTTCAGTTGGTTACAGCTTTAATTTGAACTAGTGTGTAATTGAGAATTGGAAAAATATTAATAATGAAACATGTTACTTTTGTGTAATCATATAAACAAATTCTTCATAGTTGATTTTGCCATCACCGTCAAAGTCTGCCTCACGTATCATATCATCGATCTCCTCGTCGGTCAGCTTCTCACCCAGATTGATCATGACAAAGCGCAGCTCGGCCGGTGATATGAAACCATCCTCGTCCTTGTCAAAGATCTTAAAAGCCTCGCGTAACTCCTCGTCGGAATCATTCTCGTGCGATTGTTTGCTCATCAGTGTGCAAAACGCGGCAAAATCAATCTCTCCATTACCAACGGTATCAACCTCATTGACCAGATCCCTGAGCTCCGCTTCGGTGGGACTCTGGCCCAGTGAGCGCATCAGATTGCCCAGCTCCCGTGTACTAATCATGCCCGAACCGCTTTTATCGAAGAGAGCGAAGGCCTCCTTGTACTCGTTGATTTGCTCATCACCTAGGTCTGGTTGTTGATTCATTTTCGGATCTTATCGTAAGATATAACAATTTTTAGCAAAGCTCGTTTGTCCAAATGATTTATTATTAATAAACTGAATGTATTCAGAATTTGAAATATATTTTTAGTTAGTTTGTCGCCGCCTGCTTGACTCTAACGCTCGCTCATCATGGCCACAAAGTCTTTATAAACGATATTGCCCTCGGTATTCGAATTGGCATCTAGTAATATCTGATCAACTTCATCTTCGTTCATATAATCCCCCATTGTGCTCATTATGTGACGGAACTCTGATTCGTGTATCCATCCATTGTCATCCTTGTCGAAGACTTTGAATGCCAGTATAACCTCGTCCTCGGGCGTTTGATCCTTGTAGCGCATCGACATTATGTGCAGAAAATCGCTCAGATATAGCTCATCGGCACCTTCGGGATCGTATTCATTATAATAGTCCTGCAGCTCATGTTCGGGCGGATTGTGTGCCACAGCCCTTAGGATATCCTTCAGCTGTTTCATCGGTATCACACCGGCTTTGGCGGTATCAAACAATGAAAACGCCTCAGTGAGATCCTTTTCCTGTTCCGCGTTCAGGGTATGCGAACGTATTATACGCTCCTCTGGCGGCGGTGTGGCAAAATCAAAATCCGCTTCCATCTTGAATAGGTTTTTATAAAGGTCTTTACAGAGGCCAAGCTAATTAAAGGTATTTTAAATTTGGTCATAAGCTACTTTAAATGTTTATTGAACGGGAGAAATATTAACCGGAAGACTAATATTGATCAGAAGAAACTGAAATTTAGAGCTTCGACTGCTTCCGACTTTTTGATGCTAAAAGAAAAAGTTACCTGACTTTATAGATCTATTACTATCTACAGAGTGCAGCGCGGAGACTGCACTTATTCTGCGCTCGGTACACATGAAAATCCAAATATACATTCATACCACCTAACAAAAGAAAGCAATTAGCAACTAAATTGTACTATAACGTAGCGTAAAAGTATGGAACGGGATGCCTTTGGCCACTCCGTGGCCGCGATCGTCGCGGAAGTGTAATACGAGACTTGCAGGGGGCGTAAGCTCAGCGTTATGCTGGACGACATCCGGCGATGCGGCAAAGACGAGGTCAAGTCAGAAATAGTCATACAAATGTCAAATCAGTCTGTAAGATATATCGAGCTGACAAAGTCGGTGCAGCTAAAACGAATATAAATCTCGCCAGAAAGGAACTGAGGATAATTTCTGAGCTGACACAATCCCAGTAGCTAAACCAGATATGAACAAAGTAATTCGCTCGCCAAATCCTTTGGCGATGATTCACAGACAAAAAGGGAAGTAAAAATTAGTTTTCGTCCATGGTCAAGTTTTTAGCTTGAAATGTTCAACACCAAAAGTAAAATCTTTCGGCTATATTAGGATCTGCCTTTAGCACCTACCTAAGTATAATGTTTTAAATCACACTTTAGATAGTTCAACATATTCCCGGCCATCTACAGTTTGGGTTTTTCACAAATCAAATTAATACTGTGTATATTATGTTCCATATACATATTTATACCTTCTCCCGTTTAGCATGCTTGACCCCTTATCTAATCGCTAGGCCTCACCCTCCCAAAACATATGCAAATTAACATTCGAAAGCCCATTAGAGCTGTTTGTTGTTGCTTTTGGCGTGTTGTTGTTAAGCTATGTACCCGTAGCCGAGTTGCCCGATTATGTCCCGATTATGGCCAAGTTTGGCCCTCGACAAACAGTTGCCCCTAGCATATGCAAGCTCTGTGGCCACATAACTCTGCACTTTGGGACCCACACCGAAGCTCATTTATAAGCTATGCGCAGGAATGTTAACAATGGCTTTTGGGACGTGGGTAATACAAGTGACTTCTCATTAGCAGCATTTCCATTTTGTATTATTGTGACTGCATATGTCAGCCAAAGGCGATACCGAAGCCATTTCCAGTCAGAAATTATGTAAATTGTGCAATTTAGATTTTCCAAATTAAACTGAATAGCAAAAACAACAACAAGAACTGTAAAAAAAACACCAGTGCATGCCAGTAGCAAGCGAATACCTGAAAGAAAAATAACAGACTAAAATCGCCAACATTTTTAATTAAAATTGTAATTAACAAAGCAGCCTTATCTAAGGCTGGAGTTGGGGTTCGTTTAAAAATAACATACAGCAAGAAAAGTCTTGCACAACGTGCTTAAGACCTGCAGGCAGTAAGAGACAGAAATTCAGCTTAAAAATTACTTTAAGCTATAAATGAAACTTCCGCCAAACAACAGAACATCATAAAATTAAACGATTTTATTAAATTTAAAAGTTGAATATTCTTATACTTCATTGTTAATTCAACAAAATGGGCATTCGGATAATCTTTTATCCCCAAGCATCAGTCATTATTTTTGCCGTGCCCAGGAAAGAGTGCCTAGGTATGAAAAGTATAATTCGCTTTGGCTTTTCACAATTGCTATAATGAAATACTTCTTAACAGTTAGTAGCAGTTTCCTAAATGGATTGCGGCTACGCCAGCAGTTTTCTATTGGTAATACACTGCAGCAGCCACTCGCACAAAAGCGCTGCCCGATTGCATTCAGCGCCGATTTCAATTAAGCATATGAAATCAACGTTCGCCACACAATGTGGCACTCGGCAACAATTGAGTGGGCAGTGCCACAGAGTTGGCCATTGGCTGCTATCACTCCGGGTCAGTCATTGTCAGTGGGCGGCAAAGTAATGCCACTAGGGTGGAGGGGGCTAACGAAAAGAGGGAGGAGGAGGAGCAGGCCAGTTTATGCCAAAGCGTTTTCAATATGCGCTTTGTGCCTCATTTTATGAGTGTGTGTGCGGCAAATGATACATAGAGTGGGGGCAAGCCTGTCGCCTTTTGTATGGAAATTGTGAAGCATGCATTGTTGTGGATGCATGTGCTGGCCTTTGACAGCAGCAGCGGTTGCACATGCTTTTGGCCAAGCTGTTGCCATATTTGGTTTGTTAATCTGCTTTTTGCCGCAGCAGCTGTCAATTTTCATTAAAGGCAACGCGGCGATTGCAAGTTAAGCCAGCAAAAGCAAACCTCAGCTTTTCTTTTGCTTTTCTTTTTGTTGCACACGCACACACACTGTACACACAGTTGTCGAGCAAACACTCAACATGGCTCGCAGCACACTTAAAGGCCAAAGCAAAGAGGAAAGCCAAACTCCGGCCACGCCCAACAATGTAACTCAAGCTCCTCTTGGTAGGCATTTTGAAATAAAAACAGTGTAAGAACACAGCACACAGGATACAGAATACACAGGCTAGCCGAGGTGCCAAAGCAAATGGGTGCGAGAGTCAATAGCAGTGCAAAAGGCTGGAAGCGGACTGAAAACAAAATTCAACCGTAAGAGGAACACTTTTAACAACTCTCGCAATCCTTAAAGCCAGGATTAAAGTCATGTTCGCCCAATTCTGTTCACTCAAACAAGAGATCAATTTTTTTCCATTCTTTAAATGCATAATCTTTTTATTAAGATTAAATATTGAATACTGACTGATCAAAGCTCAGCCCAGAGCTAAGAGATACAAACTTAATATTATTTACTCTGGTCCACCCGCTAGTGTGAAAAATTGGTAGAAAATAGTTGAATGAAACTTTTTTGCTTATTATTCGATCTGTATGAAAAAAGCGGGTGTCAGAGATAAGAAATCGTCCGTTCGCCCGTTCGACTTCAAATATATTTACAAATTCAAACTAAAATAATAATGGAAAACTATTGATTATTACGTTTTCTGTTTTAAACGTTCAATTTTGAATGTGATCAACTGGTTGCGAAAAATTAACGTTGTTGAGCGGACATTTTGTTCAGGCGGCTGGAAATGTGAAGCAAAATAAAAAAGATAAATTGATAAATTACGAACAATTTAATACACATCAGAGGAAAAATAATAATTAGATTGCAATTGAATTACTATTTTTATAATAATTAGTTAGTTCCCTTTAGTAAACATCTCAATTAGCTGAGTTGCCGCGTGGTTGCGTTAGTTCTTAAAACCGAAGACCTTGCACACACACGCGCGCACACACCCACACACCCACACACTCGCACTCACACGAGCGCACACAACCTTCGAACTTTTGTTGACTTTGTGTGTGTCTCAGTCCTTTCGGGCATGTAAGTTTCTTGTTTGCTTATGACACAAATTGCATTTGTGGATGACAACAAAAGCTTTGGTCATGCCAACAAGATGATTAAATTACTCATACGCCCCATGAGCTCGCGCGTGGGCAACTTTACTGTGGAGTTATCGTTATTGTTTTAGTTTTAGTTGCCTGCCTGGCATTTAGTTAATTAAGTTTTACAGCAGCAGCCCGTAAAGCGCATAGCCTCCGCCTCCGCCACCGTCCTCAGTCTGGCCCATTTAATTAGTTTTTAATTATTTTTTTCAACGCTAAACGCTTTACAAACTGGACAACGAGCACGAGAGTTGGGTATTTGTTTTGAGTTTAGTTAATTTTATTTGTATTTGCCAGAAACCCCCGCAGCCCAACGCGCCCCTGCCGCGGCCCTGCCCTCAATTTAGAGCGTTGTTCATTTAGCACATTACTTCTACACGCTTTGTTATACTGCAGTTTGTTTTGTTTGCCAGCCTTGCCTCCAGCCACTGTGAGACTTGCAAAGTTTTATGCTAGCCCATTTGCTTAATAGGCCGGTCGCAGCTTGTGTTATGTAATGAGTTTTGTTTAAAATTAATAAAATTTAAGCATCCCATTCGGTGAATCGCTTCACTGACACGGTCCGACAAGAGTACGCAGCCAGTGATTTTAATTGAAATTTCGCTGGCCAACAATAAATGGAATGGCCAAGCAAATATTGCACTCTTCTGCATTGTTAAACGCATCTGTGGAAATTTTCACGCTAGCATAGTGAATGGCAAAGATATGACGGTGGCTGTGCAAATATTTACACACCACGTTTGCCAGTTGCCATAAAGCAGCGCAAAACAATAAAACACGCAATAACCCAAATGGAAAGCGGCACCAAAAATGCAAATGAGGAATTGCT